GCTGAGAGGGACAGGATGGGGACAGGGTGGGAGGATGCGTGGGGGGGCCAGCAGGGGAGGTCTGGGGCCCGCTCCAGGAAGAGCCAGGGGATAGACCCAGCTCCAAATATTGCTGGAGCAGGACCCCCGGCTCTGAATAGTAACTCAGCAGCACTTCTGGGTGCAGGGGCGCGGGGGCTCCTGAGGCACAGGGCCTATTCAGCCAAATTGGCCTAAGGCTGTCCCTGACCCTGACTGCAGGACAGCCCATCCACAATAAGCAGACATCTGGTAACTGAGGGGGTTTGGGTGCACCCAATCTTCCCTTTTGTGCCAAGCCCTACCCTCCCTCACTCCACTCATTACCCAAGATCCCACCCCATCCCATCTCTTCCCCCCACCCTCCCTGAACTTTAGTGTTGCAAATCAGCTATGCAGAAAGCTCTGAGCTGGTGGGGAAGAAGGAGTTGCTCAGTGGGAGGAAAGAGTTGTTGCCAGACAAGGGATGTTTCTGGATGACAGAATTCCAGATAAGAGAGGTACATCCTATATTTATTTCCTATTAAGATAAAATTAACTTTGTATAACAGTATATGTGTTTCTAAAACATTGTAAATGTTAGTGTATCTTAGGTACAATATTTTATAGACTTGGTTTTCATTTGAGCATGGCACAAATAAAACTGACTAGCTCAAATTTGGAACTTAGAAAAATACTGTTTGTAATGTAATAAAACGTTTATATTTAGTATTTGAAGAGTAAGTATATTGGATAATTTCTCTAAAAGTGAGTATTTAACAGTTTAACTGCCATTAGGTTCTGTGACACTATGCTTTCTTTGAAACTAAAGTATATGGGTGATTCTGCCAAGGAAAACTGAACAACTTACTAAAACTAAATGGAAATATGCCACTAAATATATACCCTTAAAAGATGCAAAATTGGTATGAGTGACCAGACTGATTGTATCTTGGAGATGTATACTACTTATATAACATTGCCCAGGTCCTTCAGGGCAGGGAGCTGGTGGTATGAGGGAGGGGATGCAGGAGTCAAGGTAGGGGATTGAGGAGGGGCTTAGGTAGGGATGTTAGGTATTAATTGAACTAGGGAGCAGCGCCCCCTGCTTGCTACACTCACCAGTCCCCCTCTCTCTGGAGTTAGGCGTACAAATGCAGAGCCGCTGCAGGCGTAGGTCCTGGACCCATCATGAGCTAGGACTGAACCGGGCTGCTAGCCTGCCTGCTAAAAATTTTAATGGAGGAGGAGGAGGAATGCATGTACTCCAGTGGTAGCCAACCCACGGCTCTCGAGCCACATATGGCTCTTGGATTAAAAAAATGCACCTCCAGCTGGTTCTGAGCCACACACCTGGACCGCTCAGGCTGGCCACTCTGCACAAGGCACCCCAGCCACCAGCTCACAGCTGGGCCACTCTGCACACAGTGTCCGAGTGCATGCTCACAGCTGGCTGCTCAGTGCATGTGCCCCAGTGCCTGGAGTGTGTGGCAGCAGCAGCTCCAGGACCCAGGCATTAGGTTAGAGCTGAGGTGTGTGTGCATGCCTGGCTCTGGGGGAGGGGAAGAGAGCAGAGGGGAGGGCGATTGGGTTAGAGTGGGGAGTCTGGGGGAAGGGAGGGGGATTGAGTTAGAGCAGGGAGTGTACCTGGCTCTGAGAGAGGAGGACGATTGGGTTGTGGGGGGGTGCCTGTCTATGGGGAAGAGGAAAGGGATTGGGATAGAGCCGTGGTCACCGATCCATCAATCATGATTGACTGGTTGATTGCGAGGGCACAACCAATCACGAGGCATTCCATCACCCCCTTCTCCCACCCCTACGAAGGAGCCCACACTGATGCTACTTCGCACAAAAATGGAGGCAGCGCACCAGCTTCCTGTGGGGGAGGGAGGTGGAATCCTGCAGCGGCGAGCGAGTTTAAACCTGAGCTTATCATACACTGGAACCCTCTGTCCTGGGCCTCTCTACCCAGTCTTCTGCCACAACACTCTTGCATCATCCACACACTGCAAATCTGTGTCCTGAGCCCATCATACTCCCAGCCTCCCTGCCCTGAGCCCCTCACACCCCTCAACTCAAACTCCTGCACCCTCACAGCCACAAGCCTGCACTTTGCTCAGCACCCCAACCCTCCACCTGACACAACACTCTCCCTTAGAGCCCCTCACCACCAGCCCTCCTCAGTGCCAGCCTCTTATTTGAACCCCACTGCACCCAACTGCTCCCCTCCCCGTCCTCAATATTAGCCCATCCCCCTCACTTAGCCCTGTGCTGCCTCCCAGCCACCAGCTGAGCACTGCTCGAGTTGCAAATACTGTAAGGCTGCCATGACAGGCTCTGTAAGGACTTCCTACTGTGCAGCAACCTGCTCTTCCATATCTGGGAAGAGACCCTGACCAGTGTTGGCTGGCTGAGAGGTGAGGCAGGACATAACCCTCCCAGAAGCCTCTGTAGGAGGGGCAGGGCTGGGCATCCCAGCCCTGACTTCTAGAGCTACTGCAGCCCAGAAGTCAGTAATTCATAGCCTGAGATGCTGGTCTAACCAACTGAATGATCAGAATATACACACCTCCATTGCAGTTTAAAATACAAAGCCTTTTAGAAATAGTAATCCCTGCATTTTGACAATGGCTTAAGATCCTTGCTGTGAAACCAAGCAGCTATAGTTCTCTGCAAGAAATGTTGCTTCCTACTATATGGAGCTTGGTTTGAGTGTTTTCAGTTTGGAATCCACAAGTCCTGTTCCCCAAAACCAATTTTGGAATCTAAATTAATGGAGTGTGGTCTTCACCTTTCTAAAGATGATTAAGTCAAATGAAAATGAACTGTCTACATTTCTGGACATAGAAGAGACCATTTCATATAACTTCAGAGACACTTTTGATTTAATTTTTCCTTTAAGTGTTGAGTAAGTAAGGCAAAGGTAATCAAACTGTAATTGGTTAACTTAGTACAAGTTATTGATTATGGCCATGCAGTGCTTTAGACCTAGTCTGATTTCATGGAGAAGTAGAACTCAAAGTAACAGAACCTTAACATCATTTTTTATCCTGGTACATTCAGGAAGATTACTACATCATTTTACCCTTGCACATGGGTTAAAACACCAATATTTGTGTCAAAACATATTTTACTTCTCATCACTCAAACATGTTATGGCTCACTTCTTGTTTGTCCACAGATACTTGATTTAAGCTATCCTGGAATAGCTCTTCAAAAATTGTGTTCACACAAACTCTAGAGTAAGAGTTCCAGTATTAAAGTGAGTCAAACTCATTTCGGACAAACATATTTGACCACAAAGTGCTATTTCAGAATAAAGTCTGCACTCTAAACTTTCAAACTTAAGTTAGATTAAAGTGGTGTACGATTTTAGAAAACCTTCTGATGTTTTCAAAAATGGATAAATTAAATTGCATTAATGTGCAGGTTCTGTAAATGCTATTTCCAAAAATAAAGTACTGTCTCATGCTTATCAAGTTCAACTGTTACACATAACTTCGCTTTAATGGTTTTACAATTCAAAATTGTATAGAAATAAAAACTTGACTGAAATAAGGTTACAACATTAAAGATACTTGTTTAACAAGATGGATTATATACGTATGGATTTTTCATCATAACAGCATATTTTACAAGCTCAACCATACATAGAAAACAAGCAAGAGTGTGCATTCTTTTGAAGCTATGTGTTAAACTAGTTACATGATTATAGGCTACAAACAAGTTAAACTGTAAACAAGCAAATATTGCAGACAGCTTGTGGTTCTTGAATGCTTAGTTGTTTGACTAGAACAAGAGGGAGTGAGATGATAAAAAGAGCACCAGATAATTCATTTAGGGCTTTTTGTACTCAATTCTTTCTACTTTCACATCATCTCCAATTAGCTGGTACACATAGGTAACTACCGTGGAAGCCTGGATATCCATCAGCACAAATGAAGGAATGATGTTACTGGAAAGGAAAAACTGATTGTTAATATAATTATAAAACACCAACAGTAGATATTTCTGTAAGCTAGATTCCTTAACAAGTTGCTCTAAAAAATTTGTATTTTAATTGTATAAGCATGATCTGACAAAGTTAGGAAACATGACTAGGTATTTCAACATACTCATTTTAAGCAAATGGATTTAGAAAGTATTGTAGGAAAATCCTTGATACCAACAGCAAGATGTATCTGGTTATCAAGCAAATAATCCTAAAAAGTAACTCATGCACAGCAGCTGTTTCCTCTGAAATGTAACATCACTGCTGGGGATTATCCATCTTGACAAAGATTAGGAGGGGTTTCAGATACTACTTCCCAGTCGGTGTGGAGAGAAAATAGGGAGTACCAATGAATACACCCAAATGCTGAGCAGCTGTTTTCAGCCTTTTTTTTAGGCTAGACTCAAACCTTCAAGTAGTAATGCAGACATGCAATACTAAACTTTAAAGAAAAATTATTAGTATTTAGACTGCCTGTTGGTATGCATATGGCTTGAACATACACTAGTTACCATGATATATATTTCTTAGAACCGTTACTGTAAAATTAGTGCTGATAAGTAGGTATGATATAAAAACAGATAAATACACAACTGTCCAGCTTATTTTAACTCACTTCTCCAGGGCACTATAAGCTCCTGTGGTTGATCCAGGGTTAATGTAGAACTTGTTTTCATGCTCAAATGCCTCAAATTTGTGTGTATGCCCTGAAATTAAAATGTCCACATCAAATTGCCTTTGTAGCAGTGCCAGGCTGGCCATATCTCCCCATGGTATAACTTGATGGCCATGGATCAGCCCAATTTTGAACTGCCCAACAGTTACAACTTTCTGTTCCGGATAATTCAGGTTCTAAAAATTAAAAACAAATATACAACATAGATTACATATAGTGAAACAGACTCCATCTTCAAAAGTAAAATTATTTGCAATGTATTCATATCATAGTTTACCTGTTGCTCTTGAGAATGACCTAGAGCAAGGATTTTTAGATTTTGGTTGTGGCTTGTAAGGGTAAACAGCTAGCCAGCTGCCAAATGGTTTCTTGACCTGAGTATTTGCAGGTACAGCTGCCTGTAGCTCCTAGTGGCTGCAAGTCT